AAGCAAATTCTTACGTCATTTTAAACCAAATTAAAACATTTAAACTAAACGTCCTCCAGGAATTCATTTGCTTTTGCATTTTAATTTTTCCATTATCAGTTTGTATATTTTTTTTTCAAAATACAAAGGAAAATGTTTGAGACAAAAAATATTTTTTCTTGCAGTGTGGTGGAATTGAAGGCTAACCAACAATATTCCGATTATTCGATTTTTATTCCACTTTTCCAATTGGTAAAATTCTGGAAAAAGTATTATGATAAGAATTTCATACTATTTAATTTTACATTGATATGTAAAGTGTATCCCCCATTATTTTTTCTAAAAAATAGTGACTCCTATAGTATTTCTTATAACCAATAAAAATTGGTGTATAAGTTTTTCTGTTTAGATATATAATAATTTAGATATATTTATTACCTGAAAACTTGTTATATTTTTAAAATAAAAAGAATTAATTTCTTGAAATTTTTGTAACATAATTAAAAATTTATAAGTTTATTATGTATAATCTATATATTATAATTTCTAATATAGTGTCTATAGAGAGAAGCATCAATTGAAGATGTATTGTGAAAATTTAAAATGATTTGAAGAAAAAAAAATATTAATTTTTAAAAAAAACAAGCATATTAATTTATAAACAGTTGTTAGAGAGAGGAAATTAATTACATTTATTTAAACAAATGAAAAAATGAAATAAAAACTATACATTTTTTTTATTTAAATTTCTTTTAACTTTTTTGTAATTTTTAGTAATTTGACAATACAGTATATAATTCATATTTGCGCTGATAATTGGGAGTAGTCTATAATTGCATAGACATAAATTATATCCTTATAGAATTCTATTTTTAATGATTTTGTTAACTTTTTTACTCGTAATTTATATTGTGTTTCATTTATTTAATCAACGGAGTTTTTCTGAGTTCTTTTAAGTAAAACAGAGCATTGTCTATGTTTTTTTCCCTTTTTTTTTGAAAAATCATTGTTTTAAACTATGAACAGAATGTAATAGATAAAAATGCAAAGTTTTGTGAAAAAAAATCCTCCAGCTCTTTTTCAGACAATGATTTTAACTATAGATCAGAATTTTATGTTAGTTCTGCATATAAATACCATATTAATTTGAAAAAAAAAAGTATAATGCATTATATATATATATATATATACCCATNACGCTAAGGAAAAAAGTAATTGTTTACACAGTAGTTTTTTTTACGTGAAATATTGAAGAAAAAAATATTCTCATCTGAAGCGTTGATGATTTGTTCTTTATATATATATATATATATATATATATACAGCTTTATTGTTTTTACGCGACTGAAACCAGTTTGCTCTTGCTTACGTTCGTGCATTAATTGGTTAGCATTGTAATGAAATATGTTAAATATAATTACAAACAAGAGGTATTTAAAAAATCTCCTGAATAAAAACCAGTTACATGTTTGTTTAAATATAAAAATAGTGTATAAAAACTCATGCAAAACATGTCATTATTAAAAAAACAACAGTGCGTCTATTAATTTAATCTAATTATTATAATATAATAATATAATACCTGATGTAATAAATAGTCTATATTTATATAATATATCATCGAATTTATCCTATCGTCGAATTTATATTATATATCCTTTAATTTAACCAATACCAATACATGAACGTAAACAAGCACAAGCCGATTTCAGTCTCTTAAAAACAATAAAGCTGTATAGTATCACCTGATAATTAAGATTTTACATAGAATCATATATATAGTTGTATGCATATATTTGAAAATAAATATAAAACATGAAAAGGGTTGATCAAGATTTTCTTTTTTTTTAAATGAGTAGATTAGTTAATTTTACATTTATTGAAATTGTCATGAAAATTGCTTTTGTTGCAATTTAAAAACTTAACTTTTCGTTACTAGAGTAAGAAAAACTTGATTTTGAAAACTAGATTTTCACATAAACTTTGTTAATTTTTTTTCATGATATTCTGAAATTATATATTACCCAAATTTGCGCAACAATGGAATAATTAATAAATTTTGCATTTCTTTTAATGACTATCAGATAGAAGTTTCAGATGCAATCTTACAAAGCAAATAAATACATAAATGAAGGACAACGATAGCATAATAATAAGCACAATCAAATTTTATTTATTTTTTAAGTTACACAATTTTGGTATCCAAAAATGTTCAAGATTTGACTTAAAATGGAAGTAATTGAAGTAAATAAGCATAAGCATAGTCTTTATTTATAAATTATTTCAAAGTTACTTTATTCCGAAAAACAGAAAGACATTTTATTATAAAATTTTTTAGATACATTTATCGTTCACTCTAAAATATTTGTTGGAAGCACAATAATTTAAAAAAGCTTTACATAATAAATGCTGAGTTTAAAATTTTCAACTTTAATTTTTTAAAGAAACTAAATCTTTTGTTTGGAATGAAATGATGTAATAAAAAAACAGGAGATAATGAAGACTGAGGGTACGAAAACAAGTCAACATGTTTTTTTATCACGTTTTTTTCGCTTGTTTACATAATTAGATTTCTTCTCTCATTAAAAAAACTATATTAAATAAAAATTAATAAGACTATATTAAATAAAACAGAGAATAAAATTTAGAAAATAATTTTATAAATTAATACTATTGGGAAAGAAAGTACTAATCAAAAATGTAATTATCCAGGTTTATATTATTTCATAGATATATATAACAAAATTATATGTAATTAATTATGTATAACAAAAGCTTAATTATATATAACAAAAAGTTTGAATATTCACATTTATGGAGAAATCAGTATCATAAATTTAAATACTGAATGAACTTGCGAAAAAAATAAGAATTGTTTCTGTTTCACTGAACTATTAAGCATGATTTTATTTAAATTTAATAAAAACATTCATTCGAGATATTATCACTTATGTTTCATCATTTTTGAGAAATTTATGTATTTCAAATTTCCAAATACTATTACAGATTCTATATAAATGAATATGTAATTACTATTGCAAACTGTACATTTATGCATTATTAGGTTTGCAATGTGTTTGAAAAATAAAATATTTTTAATGTGTAATAAACAAATAATTATTATGTACTAACAGAAATCGAACTTGGTCTCGTTAATTGTAAAATTTCGAAATTATTTTTGATAAATTTAATTAAAAATAGTATTAACTTAATAACAATGCTTAGCAAGGGTGATTTTGCTTAAATTAAAAAAATGGTGTTATAAAGAAACTTTTAATTTTAGGTGATATCAATAGATATAAATTGAAATTGTGGAAGCAAACAACATTTAAATATAATTTTATAAAAAAGTTTGTTCTTTACATCATTATTATTATTGCTTATAAATAAACATATCATTGAGTATATTTAGAGAAAAGTCTACATTGAATATGTTTTTTCATAAAAATAATCCTTTTGAAATCCTTAATAATGCTGAAAAATAGAAATAACTTGCAGTGCAGTAAATTTTGGAGAACAAACTTCATTTAGTTCAAATTAAATTCATTAAAAAGTTTATTCTTTTACGTTATTGGTAATATTTAAAACGTGTTTAAATATTTAACTATTACCAAGATTAACCAAGGTGCTATTGTCTGTGGTTTAAATTTAACTTCAAAGTACATAATTGGATTATTTAGAAATATTTCATTTCAAGGTCAATTTACTGAACAGTTGTATGAGCAACTAAATTTTTAATTGTTTCGATAACATAATTTTTTTCAGAACAAAGAAGAAAGAGTAAGAAGTAAGCATGCAACGTATTAATTGGAAATTTATAAGATTTTTAATTTTAAATTCAAAGTGTGCAATAATGTAATGGACAAGTAATATTTTCAAACATTACAAATAATTCATGAAAATTTTAGTCTAAATTACAGAATTATATATACTTATATATACANTATGTAGTATATATTATATAGAGACAAATATAAAATGGCTTTAGATTTTCAAAAAAACTTTGCTATAATAATATTTTTTCCATTTTAAGCAATTAGAATTTCTTTAAATGTGTAAGCATGCAGTGTCAAATAGAAAATCATTAATAATAACCTTGATTTATACTACTTTTGTTTAAATAGATTATTTGGATTTTTTTGAAGAAAAAAAATGAGTCATATATATTAATAATAAATTAAGTGAAAAATGTAAAGGTTTGTATAAAAATTTTTGAAATCCTAAAGTCTAAGGTGAATTAAATTTTGTTTAGTACTGGAAAATAATTCCATTTTGTTAAAAACTTAATCAAAAACAATCTGTTGTTACAACATGCATGATATCAAAATATTTTTGAATATTTATATCATTTCTAATATTGAATAACCACGCATTTATATAAATTGTATATTAATTTCATATTTAATTTTGCAATTCAAATTGTTATTTATTAAAATATATTATCAACATATTGTCAAGTGTTATCAAACTTCATTTCGATCATCGTCATATTCTTTTTATAATTATTTTACATTAGCTTCAACTCCAATTTACCAGTTGAAATTGTTATTTATTAAAATTTATTTTAACATTAATTTCTTTTAAAAAATATGCAATTGTTTTTAATCAATGAAAACAACATAATCTTATCCCCTAGCGTTATCATGCTTCATTCCGATTATCTTTAGATTCTATCTATAATTATATTATATTAATTTCATAACAAAATTAACAGTTGAAATTTTTATTTATTAAAATTTATTTATTGCATTAATTTCATTGAAAAGTTTTACAATTATTTTTTGATCAATGAAAACAACATTATCTTATTCTCGAGTGTTATCATACTTCATTTTGATCATCATCATCATAATTATTTTTATTAATTTTACATCCAATTTAACAGTTAATAATGAAATAATTAATTTCATTAAGAAATGTATAATTATTATTTTATTTGCTTTCAGTGCAAATTATGCATGAAAACAATATAGAATTTACGATTATAATCATATTTCATTTCAACTTATCCCTAACCTTACCTTCGATGCAATAAAAAAATAGCCGGTAAAGGGAGAAGCAGATGGCCGTCCTAGGGTTAGCCCTGTCCGGGAGCTCGTCATTTCCAAGCTCCGGCAACAATCGAACAGATAACGGCCGTCAGTGCCAGAATCTGGAACGGTAAGCTCTGAGCTTCGCAGCTCCTACTCAATCCGCGACGGGTGTTCTGTACATATTTGACGGAGAAATATTTACATATTTGTTGGGACGGTAAAAGTTCAGTGTTTAAAGCTTACGCCGACGATTCAAAGACGAGTTTCGTTTGTGTGTGCTTTACAGTCAGCTGATTGGAATTCTGAGTGAGGGTGGGGGAAGTAATAAAGGGGGAAAGGACTGGGCAGAGGATGATAGTCAAGTTATTTGTTATAGCTGCTTCGCTTTCAGAAGATAAAACAAGACTTATCCAACAGATAATAAGAATAAGTCAACATTTCCATGTTGACAAACGGGAACTAGCATCAACAATTTCAAAGATGAATAATGATTTTATATGACACATTAGGAAAAGCTGAAATGTCTACGGGCAAAAGTGGGGCGTTTGGAGCGGGGTGCATGAGGGTTTTTACGGGTAGGCGACCAGAGGAACTTACGTGATCTTCCCTTTCTGCTCCTGTTTACACAGCAATGACATAATCCTCGATAGTGAATTCGCCTCTTTGGCAAATTTACACTGCGTTACATGCTTTTCTTTTTTCATTCCTGTCTTCGATAGAACAGGTTATTCAAGAGGCTGATAAAAATGGGTAGAGGTTATTGCAAATAAAATCATTTTAGTTAATTTAGGAAGAAAAAATCAAATTGATTATTTTCAAGCATTTATTTTTTGTTTAAACATTCTTCCTTCGAAGATCAAATAAAAATGAGGTGTTGAAATGATTGGCTTGTTTGTATTTTTTTTTTTTTTTAGAGTTTTGGTTTGAAATACTTATTTGCATACAAACTTTCCAAAAAATATTTTTTATAAAATAGAAGAATTTAATTTTTTTTGTGCTGAATTTATATCATTAAAGAACTTAAATAAAATTAGATAAAAATAAAATAGGTACTGGGAAATATGCGTAAGTTGACCACTAGCGATGCATTGCTTTTCTAGTTAACTCAGAAAAAATTTCAACTTATGCAGAGGAATTAAAATGAGTAGAGATTATTGCAAATAAAATCATTTTAGTCACTTTAGGGAAAAAAAAAATCAAATTGATTATTTCCAAACATTTCCTTTTTGCTTAAACATTCTTGCTTTGAAAATCAAATAAAAGGAGATGTTGATGTTGTAGTTGACAGAGGGGCAGAGGGGGTGCGATTGTTCTAAGGTGTTGATATGATTGCCTTATTTGTAATTTTTGTTGTTTTGCTTTGAAATACTTATTTACATACAAACTTCCCAGAAATAATTATTTGGATAAAATAGAATAATAATAGGTAGTTTTTTGTCCTGGATTTACATTATAAAAAACTGAAATAAGAAATTGGATAAAAATAAAATAGGTGCGTTGATATCTGAGTAAGTAAAGTGATATCTATAAAATGCATCGACTACTTGCTTCGCATTCCTTTTGAAGTCAACTTAGTGAGTGGCCCAACTTATAAAGGCGGTCAACATATAGAGAGGATTGAAAATGGGTAGAGTTTATTATAAATGATTTCATTTCAGTTAATTTAGCTAAAAAAAAGTAAGTTCAGTACTTCGAAGTCTTTATTTTTTGTATAAACATTCTTTTTCGGAAAATCAAATAAAAATTATTGCAGAAATGATTGACTTATTTGTATTTTTAGATGTCCTGATTTTAAATATTTATTTACATATTAGCTCTCTAGAAACAATGTTTTTAATAAATAAAATAACTAGATATTTTTCTGAGCAGATATTTTTTCATAAAAAAACCAGAAATAAGAAATTGCATCAAAATTAAAACACATAGAGTGAAACTGTGTAAGTTGACAATTTGCGGCGTATTGCTTTTGTTGTCAACTTAGACAGGAGATCAACATATCGTATACATTATTCTTTCTCCATCATTCTTAATTCATTGTATTCATATATACATATTCTTACTCCGGTTTAAGGTGTTCGAAAAGTTAAAACAGTCGATAGTTTGCTCAAATTTCCCATGTGCTCAAGGGACAAAATATTTGTAAGCTTTAATCACAATATTTTAAAATTTGTTGACGCATTAGCAATATAAAAACTTCATAAGGCTGCGGCAGGAAATGACGGCCCAATCGCATGTTCATGAAGTGAATTTATTTAGAATTTGATAACACGCATTATTTTTATTACTATTATCTTCTTCAAGCAGAACCAGCTGAATTTAATTCATTTTTTTTTTTTAGTTTTTTCTCTCCTACTTTACCTTTGTTAGCAGTGGTTGTATAATTATTATAACTGAATTCACGGATATTTTATGAATCAGTTAGTTGCCTCATTTAGCCAGCCGGAATTGCAATCCAGGCAGGCTAATTGAGGAAACGATTTATAATATTTTCGTGAATTCAGTTATGAAAAATGTACAACCATTGCTAATATATCTGAATAACGATAAATTAATGAAGTTTTTAATATAAGTCATAACTAAGCACTATTAGTGTGTTATTGACGTGTATGATGTGTTCGCGTTGAAAAATTAGAAGAAAAAATTAGTAATTTCTAACGTGGAATTTTGTTCACACGTAAATCAACTTATCTTAAAAATTGTGTTTTGCTTTTCATGCAGTGAATCTGTTTCTTCTATATTTTATGTATTATGTATATTTGGTGTATGGATTTGTGTATTTTGTGTTTGGACTGTTGGACTAACTATGTAAACCATATTAAGGTTGCTAAAGCTAATATTTAGTGAATATTTCCAGTTACACCATAAATTCCGCTGTATTTGATTTATCAACAACATATCAGAAGTAATTAAATCCTTAATTAGATAATGATCTAATTTATCTCTTTTAGATGATCTCCGTACACCATAATATGTTTTAATGTATTTTCTGATGTTTGTGTTGGTGTTTAAATCAGCATTTTATGCTTATACCCATAATAGTTTGAAACAGTCTACTAACCCGTATTAAAGTGTTACGGTACCAAAAAATCAAATTGCTACCGATCTATTCATTGTGCACTTCTGACTCAATTAAAGTAACTGCTTTCCTTTATGGAGACTTATTTTTTATTTCCTAGTATTTATTTAAGATTTTATAACTATCGCGTGTATTTCTAGATATGAGCAGTATGGAAGATATTCATTACATTAACATGTTTAAAACCATACAATCACCAAATTAACTAACTATCGCGTATAATTCTAGATATGAGCAGTATGGAAGATAATCATTACATTAACATGTTTAAAACCATACAATCACCAAATTAACTAACTATCGCGTATATTTCCAGATATGAGCAGTATGGAATATAACCATAACATAATAACATGTTTAAAATCATACAATCACCAAATTAACTAACTATCGCGTATATTTCTAGATATGAGCAGTATGGAAGATAACCATTACATTAACATGTTTAAAAACATACAATCACCAAATTAACTAACTATCGCGTATATTTCTAGATATGAGCAGTATGGAAGATAAACATTACATTAACATGTTTAAAACCATACAATCACCAAATTCTCATAAAAATAAATTGCCTAAGTAAAACATCCCCTTGATAGCAATCTGTACCAAATTTATAATCAATTCAAGTGAAAAGTTTCTCATTTGACATTTAATTTAATAATATAGCTTTCATTCACTTTTGACTCGAAAAGTTTAAATCAACAAACAATGTAAATTAAAAATTCATCAACTCAATAAACAGAATAAATATTTGCTAAGAGTCATTACTAATATCCTCATTAATATACCATAGAAAATTATATAAAATGCTTCTTGTTATAGACTCGGTATATTATTTTTCTTAATTATATTTCATCTTAATTTTAGCATCTGTAGGATGTACAACTATGTTAACTAATACTAAATAAACTAAAAAGAGAAAAATATTTTTAAATGAATTAATTATTCAAACGAAATTATTTATAATAGTTGAAAAAAGCGCAATAAAATAAAAGTGCAAAAGCAGACAGACGTTTTATTAGTTGTAGTACTTTATTTGCGTCGCACTAGAGCTGCGCAATGTTTTTCAACGGTCTGGTAAACATCCCTGAGGATGAGGGATCCAAAGGCATGCCATCCCAGTTTTGATTCCCAGGGAGCCCAACGACCTGCCCGAAAAGTAGAGAACTTTACAGTGGAACAGTTTAACGAGGACCAATGCCACACACCCTCGATCCCTTCGCAGGGCGATCAAAGTTAGTCATCCTCCCACTCACTTATTGCAGCCAGTGATCATGTGGGAGTCGTGTCTTATGATCCCCACAGATAGCTCACTGTGGGTCACAGCCATCTTGACACTGTCTCATCAGTGTTGGTACTGACAATTTTACTTATTATGTACCTTTTAACACTGAAATGACTGCAAACTTTTAAATTTATTTTTAGGCATTTTTCTACTCTGTTATTCACCAACATTGTGATAATTGCGTGTGACATCATATCAGATAATAACATAATGAGGAATTTTGAAGTTAGGAAAAACCTTTCCTGTTAATTCATGAAAAATCATTTTTGTTTAATCAGCGAAACAATTTTTTTTAAATTTAAACTTGGAAAAAAAAATTTAACTGCGCACAAATTTTTGCATAAGAATACATAGATTCTTGTATTTGATATAATTCTTAAATGTAACCAAATTGTTTCGAAAGTATTAAGTGCAAAACTATTCATAACAATTTATTCTAAAATATTAAAAATAATAAAATTGATTTTCGGTACAAAAATTTGTATAATAATAAATATTTAATTTCTTTCTTCATATTTATAAATTTTAATTATTTCGCATTTTATTTCTTATTCAAAAACTAAAGAACTTGCATCGAATATCTGACAAAAAATTTTCACATTATTTTAAATGGAGAATTTCGTTTAGCTGAAAAACTATTACAGTAATAGTAAAAACATGGGTTGGATTTTCTGCACCTGTTTAAAGCCAACAATATTATATTTTTTTCTTTTTTTTTTTTTTGTTGCTAGAAAGTAAAACTTTGCTGTAAAAATATACTGAATCTTTTTGAAGCCACTACGATCTAATTATAAAGTTTGTTTTTTAAATGTTTTTTTGTCTATAAAATAAAGCAAAGGGAGTATAAAAATTACATGCTTAAAAATTTTAAAGATTAATTCCAAAGGAAAAAAAATATTTTTCTGCTCTTCTGTTCTGCATCAGTAAATGATATGCATAAAGAGCTGTATTTTTTCCATCGTAACACAAGAAAAAAAAAGGAAAAAGGCAAATATGATTTTAAGAATTTTTTTCATCTTTTAGGCGTTGATAATAAGCTGCATCCGTTAAATTTTTTATAATAGCTCAGTGCGAATTTGACATGTGTCAGATATTGTCTTTAAACATTTTTTCGGTGCACTTTAAAAAATTTTTCCGGAATATTAACTTTCTTCTTTT